GATGTATAGTACATAAAACAAATAAACAGTTGGTCACTATGGATTACTTTGATTGCAAACTCTAGATCTAGACCTTTGATTTTTTTGATCGGACAACATTCCACGATTAAACATATATTTTTTTCATCAAATTTCTTTGCTATTTAAAAACAAATTGTCCCGTACAAACTTTGGAATTTTTTTGGATTTTTAATGAAAACTCAATGTAGAGTTTATAAATTAATTTATTTTAAAAGTTTAGTCGTGTGTTTTAATTTTTAAACAAAAAGTTCTACCCATGTTTCCGTACGAAGTATAAATGTTAAAGAAACTGAAACTCTTGCGAGAGAAGAATTCATGAAATTTAACCTAAATTCGATTTGATTTTGATCCTATGATAAACATAAAATAATATAGTTGTGCAATAATGTAAAGAGTGGGAAGTTCGTGGGTTGTTCCTAGGAAGTAAGTTGACTTGTGAGGGAGATATACCGAACACAGTGGTATATACCTTTTAAGCTACCTCTTATGATAACGTATCCATATAGTTTTCCCATTTTAATATGTATAATACTCTCTCCGTTTCATAATATAAATTGTTTTAGAAGTTTTTATTTGTTTTAAAATGTAAGTTATTTTAATAATTTTAGATATTTTTTAATTTTATTGAACACTAATATTTTGCAGTCTTTTGTGTGATTGGTCAAATTATTTTTATTAAATATATTAAATGATATTTTTTTACAGAAAAAGTAATTTTTTAATATTCGTGTTTTAAGCTAAAACAACTTATATTTTAAAATAAAAAGAGTATATAGTTTTAATATGCATTGTTTGTACTAATTATTCCCCCCAGGTATAAGCTCCAGCTAATTAACAGAGTTTAACTATTTCATTATATTTAGATTTTAATCTGCTAACACGTACTCTCTTCCTAGTTCCTATCAAGTTCTCCCACTTTGATTCTCTTTACTTCATAAGAAAAGGTAGAAGGGAATATTGGCCTTTCGGCCTTGGCTGGCCCCTTTCGTATCTTATGGCTAATTATTAGCTTGAACCTAATTTGTTTCGACTGACAAAATTTTAATCAATTAACGTTGGCTAATCTTTGTTACCGCTAAAGCAAAAGTGAATAAAACATTTTGACAAAATTATTCAACTAGTTTGATATACGAACTATTTTGAGAAATCTCATATCAACTATAAATTAAAGGTGTGACATACATACACCAATTGATTGATTTTGAATTGGAATACAATGAAGTTTGATATGATGCTATCTCTTTAATTTGTTAAATTACAATTTTTGTTTTGTAAATTTAGTTGAAATGAAAGATTTATGGCAAAGAAAAAGAAATTCTTTTCATAGCTGGATATGACAATATGCAGAATTCATCAATGAGTCGCGGATCACTTATCTAGACTTCGGGTCGAGAAACAATATTTTAGATAAAGTAAATGATTTATAGGTCTATATTCGAATAAATATTAAAAATTAGCCTTTACTACACCAATTTACCAAAAATTTAGTATATTTTTAAATTCTCAACTACCAAAAAAGTATTTACAATTTTCAAATATTAAATACTTGTAGATAATCCTAAAGTGAACTAAGAGCATCATTATCAATAAAATTTAGTGGGTATCAGCCCATTAAAATATTAATAAAAGGAAGAGACCGAAGGAGAGAGGGAGTGAACTGTCTCAGTGGTGTGAGACGGTTCAAGTAATATTCATACACTTGTCACTAGTTTATTGGATTAATTTTTAAAAA